TCATTGAGAAAATTAATCTAATCATGTGCTGGGAAAGGAGAAAAAAAGCAGCACTTACTCTATAATCCAAGAACAGCCAAAAGAAACCCAAACTAAGGATGTATGATATATATAATAATTCTGCTTTGAAGGAATAATCATAACAATAACCATTTTATTTGATCAAAAGATATGAAAAGAGTTTATCATTCACTGAGCATACCAAATACGCATCTACATTGTTTATAGTTAACATTTCTGTAGGTTAATGTGATAAGGCCGTAAAGCAAACCAACCATCCTTTTTTCTTGATTTAGAGAGCGTAAACTTCAGCGTACGCTGTTCAAATTCCATAATAGGCATAGCAACTCGTCGTTTTACAATCTGCAATGATTAGAATTAGATTTTATAATATGAAAAGAAAATGATATGTAACCAGATTACATAACAATTTTGAGCTATTAAATAAAATTTTTTTACTAAACTTTACACTTATATTAGTACCTCTCATTAAGAAGAACTAGAGCTCCAAGTAACGTAAGAAATGCGAACTTAGGTAAACACGCGAATCCCAAAATCTAATAATAATGTGCCACTCAGCCAACCCTATAGTGACAGCCTCTTAGACTAATATTGAGAGAAGCTGCTATAAGACAGGAACATGTGCTACGAATCCAATAGATAGTCTAATCAAATACTTGATAAAAAAGCAGAAGCAATCTTAAACATCTGCCTAAACTTTAGAAAATCGCAAAAATTTCAACTGACCATATTGATATGCTCAGCGTTCTTGATAATATCGACAGCGCTCGAATAGTCGATGCTTTCGAATGAGACGCCGTTCGCGGAGAGAATACGGTCGTTCACTCTGAAACATCACCACCCACCATCTTCTTCATCACCATGACCACAACTGTTCGTATTTTTATTTGGAACTGCTGCTGTTCGTTACACAACGAGAATGGCATCTCTTTTTTTTTCGCAGAGCTTTTATTTATCGAAAATGTAGGATTGAGTGCAGCTTTCATTGCAGTCGTTTGTG